ATTCATGCCATTCTCCCGCCTCAGCCTCACCGAGCAGGCTGGGGATTACAGGTGCCACCACACGCCCTGGCTAGTGTTTTCTCTCGTATTTTAGTAGAGACGTCGGCGTTTCACCGTGTTAGCCAGGATGGTCCTCGATCTCGCTGACCTCGTGATCCCGCCGACTCGCCTCCCAAAGTGCTGGGATTACAGGCGTGAGCCACTGCGCCTGTTCGTCCAAAAATAGGGTTTTTAAATTACCTCAGATGGATGTGGTGGTGGTGTGCGTCTCTTACAGGGCTGGCCCAGCTAATTTTTGTATTTTTAGTAGAGACGGGGTTTCACCATGTTGGCCAGGCTGGTCTTGAACTCCTGACCTCAGGTGATCCACCTGCCTCGGTCTCCCAAAGTGCTAGGATTACAGGTGTGAGCCACCACGCCCGGCCAAATGTCACCTCTTTAGAGAGGTCTTGCATGACTCCCCAAGCTAAAGAATTTCCCTCCTAAAACCAGGCATTGCTTTTACATCACCAGTTTCCCCCCATAGGTGTCTCTCTTCTTGAAATTATCTTATGTATGTAATTGCTTACTGGTTTATCGCTAGACCCTATAAGCTCTGGGAGAACAGAGATTTGCCTGCCTCCTTCACTACTGTGTCCCCAGTGCAGAGAATGGTGCTTGGCCTAATAGGGAATGAATGCATGGGTGGGTGATGAAGTGAAGGCCCTCAGCCCCTGCTCAGGGCCCTCCTGTGGCGTCTCTCTGCTTCCTCCCCTTGCAGTGAGCATGGAGTTTGGGCGGGCTGTGTGGCTCCGCTTCCACCCGTCGGCCTATCCCCCGTGCCCTCACCCAAGCTTCATGGCGCACTTGGGTGGCGTGGCCGTGGGCATCACCCTGGGCGTGGTGGTCCTGAGGAACTACGAGCAGAGGCTCCAGGACCAGTCGCTGTGGTGGATTTTTGTGACCATGTACACCGTCTTCGTGCTGTTTGCTGTCTTCTGGAACATCTTTGCCTACACCCTGCTGGACTTGAAGCTGCCGCCTCCTCCCTGAGGGCTGGAGGCCCGAGGTGGGGGAGGGGAGGGAAAAGCAGCGCCCACAGGGAGCGCCTGTGAGGTTTTTTCTCATCACCAGCTCAGCTAGGCCAGGCAGGCGAGGACAGAAGACTCCGGGCTGCTGTAATGTTTGTGTTTAGATTTGGACAGACAGTGGAGACCCTTTTCTGAAAGGCACCTGGCGGAGGAGTTAATGTAGCTGCTGTCATTTTTCTAGGCTGCTCTGATGACATCGGGCCAGGGTGAAGGTCTGGGGTGGGCTGTGTGAGTGGCCCTCCCTCACCTGGGCTGGGCTAGTTCCATGGGGCCAGGGGTGCCCCCTCGCTGCTGTGGATTGAGCAGCAGCTTCTTCCTCATCCTCTACCCTCAGAGACCCTAAGAGACATGGGAAGGCCTGAGGGTTGTTGCAGCTAGGCATGGCCCCTCTCTAGCTCAGAGATAATTGCAGGCCATGTGGTGTCTCCTCGACACCTGCTGGGTCTGGAGCTCCAGTAAAAAGAGGGCCTACTGGACATGTCAGCTGTGACCTGGCTGAAACCAGGGTGCCTTCTTGGGCTGGTTGGTGGGCACTGGGGCATGATCTGTTGTGCCTGGGTTGGGTAGAGCCAGGGACGCTGTAGGCTCTAGGCCCCCTTTTGTGCTGGGGGTACCCAGTGAGAGGGACCCAAGTAGGGGGAATAAACTTCATTCCAAGTTCCACCCTGGAGAAGACAGACCCAGGACCAACTTCAGACTTCTCCCTCCCTTTCTTCCAGGATGTTGGCATCTCACACCAGTGCCCCAGCCTCCATGTCCAGCCGTCTTTTAGGGTCGTTTTCTTTCCTTTTGCTGCCCTGACACTACTTTGTGCCTCTCTGGTTATGGAGACAGTGTTTTGATACATTCTTGCGTGTGTGTATGTGTGCGTATGTGTGGGGTGTGTGTGTGTGTGTGTGTGTGTGTGTGTGTGTGTGATGGGAAAGGTAATTGAGGCAAGTCAGCGCCTGCAGAGAAGGCACGGCGGATGCAGGGGGCCCATGTGAGTGTCCGTGAGAGGTGGGAGACCATGGTGTGCTGTGGTTGCTGAGTGTTCTTGCTTTGACAAAGCCTACCACCTTCCTTCCCATCTCCTGTCCCTTCCACACCTGCTCCTGAGCATCACTGACTGGTGGCAGAACGGCCCTGCTGGAGGGAGAGCTCAGGCCCTCCAGGGATCCCTGGATGCTGAGGTTTGCCAGGTTCAGCTCTTGTTTTCCTCTGAGATGGCCCTCATATCCAAAAATGTTCCATCCTGTCTCCCTTAGGAGAGAAAGAGCTTTGGGGATGCAAGAGAGGCTGGGGTGGGAATGTTGAGACCGTGTGTCCATTTGAATTAGGGGGACAGGAGGCTACAGGAAGAGGAATTCCAATTTAGTTGGAAAACTTTACCTCAGGAGAATTTTTGGGTGCATGGATGAGCCTCAGAGGGAGGGCAGCCGGTAACCTCGGAGGCTTGGATGCGGGAGAGAATATGGTGGTTATCAAATCCACCCCACCCCATTTCACAGGTGAGAAAACAAGATGGAGGGAATGACCCTCCTAATAGGAGCTGGTGCAGGCTCCAAATGGAGGGTATGACGTTGACCTTTGACAAAAGATGACACTGCCTTTATCGTGCTCTTGGAATTCGCAACCACTGGCAGCCCAAAAGAACAAAGAATGCCAGGCCTGGGAGGAGGCAGGGGGCTGGGCGTGTCCAGAAACACGGGAAGGAGTGTGGGAATGGTCTTTCTCCAGCCTCATGCCCATCCTGGCCCTTGAGTGTAGCGGGCTCCAGGGTCAGTCAAACCAGGCATTTGGGGTCTTGGGCCACAGTGGCTTCCCATCCCGGTAACTACATGTAAATGGGCTCACTCACTCGCTGGCAGGCGAGGTCCAGCCCTACCCCATCTTGGCCCAATGCTAAATAGATTGCCCTGGCCTTATATGTAGCTACGTAGGTCCTGCTCCCCCGCATCAGTGCCGTGCTGAGGGCTGCAGCCTGTGCCACTGTGGGCCCACGTCTTTGGCGGTGTTGTGTCAGCCTGGGGCGTCTTGTGTGTGCCCTGCCCGCCGTTCTCTGCCCTAGTGATAGAAAGATGTAGATGGAAGAGTCAGCGCATCAGAGGAGGAGGCTCTGAGGCTGTGGAGCTGGGCTCAGGGAAGACAGGGGGAGGATGCAGAAGGAGCCAGGACATTGCTGCCTCTGCCTGGGCTGCAGCCACACTACGCTGAGCGATGAGGTCCTTTCCTGGAGGGATGGAGAATCCCATCCAGATCCCTGTCCTGGCTCCTGGGGCTTCTGTGATGTGGGTGGAATGAGCAGAGTGCCACCTCTGTCTGGTATGACCTGGAGAGGAGGCTTCCTCTCTCAGGGGTGAGAAGGCATTGAACTAGAAGACTCTAGAAATCCCTCATAGAAGCACTCAGCTCCCTCGGGGACTCCAAGGGAAGCTTGTTACTGAGAAGGACAGTGGAGGCAGAATCGTGTCTCCCACCATGTTAAGTGTGTCCTCTGCTGCCAAGGACCCTCGTCTACACCTTAGACCACCAGCCCCAGCCGTTCCCTGTCAGCACACCCACCTCCACCACCTCTCCCAACCATGACTTCCAAGCAGGGCCACAGGGTGGGGTCACAGGGTCACTTCACCTGACCCAGGCCTCTCCCCAGGTCAGGAGGCAGCTGTCTGGTCAGAGGGATTCCCTTTGTGGCATCTGACTTTCTCCTCAGCAGGTCCCACCACCCTCTCGGCAGCACTTCGCCATGGCCAAGGCTGGCCGTGTCCTCCCTGCCTCCTTCCTTGTCCAAGGTGGCTGCTGGCCCAGAGAGGGTGTATAAATCTTCAGGCCGGTGGAGGTAGATTGGCCTTTTATCCACAGGATACGGAAACTGAAATCTGGGGAATCCCCAAACAGCAGCCATAGACTCACTGGCCTTCATTAAACGGGGGAGGAATCACAGAAACTGGGGAAGGGAAAGCAGACCTTCAAATGAGAAATTTCACTTTAATGACACCATTCATCATCCGTTTTTTAATTAGGAAAAGCTCCCTAATGAGGCTGTTTTGCCAGCTAATAGGACTCTCCATTTCCATGAGCACCATTCTTGCCCAGAGGATTAGAGGAGCCATTGCTCACCAAGCCGGGATCTTCCCCCAGCATCCAATTTAATTTGCAAATACGTAATGCAGATTCCCTGGGTGCCGTGAAAGCCCTTCCTGGCATCATTCATATTGCTTCCCGTGCTGGCTGGAAAGCACGGTTCTCCTCTGCCTTAAAAACAGTGCCCAACAGTGAACTGCCCCTCCGAGGACTTGAGTAAGTGGAAAAAACAAAACACAAACTGCAATGTTTGTTTCTAAGTATTTTTGTATTGTGTACATTCTGTATATTTTTGTTGTAACATATTATTTGAGCACAGATTCCATTAAAGATTTTTTTTTTTCCAAGCCATTGGTTATTCAGGAAGTGACCTGAAGGGCTGGCATTAGGGCCTGTTTCATCTGGGTCTAGGTCAGGATGGGTGGGAGAGGGTGAACAGCAGTGGTGGTGGATCTAGGATTTCTATAACATACAGATCGGGGCATCAGTGCTTAGCACCAGTCTGTAGCTCTGTGCTGCTTACTTTTCTCAAATCACTGAACTCTTTTGAGTGGTTGATGAAAGCTGTGATTTCTCTTCCCATAAAAATGTGTATGTAGGTCCCAGCACTTTGGGAGGCTGACGCATGTGGATCACCTGAGGTCAGGAGTTCAAGGCCAGCCTGGCCAACATGATGAAACCCCATCTCTACAAAAAATACAAAAAATTAGCTGGGCATGGTGGCGCGTGCCTGTAATCCCAACTACTCAGGAGGCTGAGGCAGGAGAATCGCTTGAACCAGGGAGGCGGAGGTTGCAGTGAGCCAAGATCGCACCACTGCACTCCAGCCTGGTGACAGAGTGAGACTCTGTCTCAAAAAAAAAAAAAAAAAAAAACCAGCTGGGCGCAGTGGCTCATGCCTGTAATCCCAGCACTTTGGGAGGCTGAGGTGGGCGGATCAGAAGGTCAGGAGTTCGAGACCAGCCTGGCCAACACAGTGAAACCCCGTCTCTACCAAAAATGCAAAAATTAACTGGATGTTGTGGCGGGCACCTGTAATCCCAGCTACTCGGGAGACTGAGGCAGGAGAATCGCTTGAACCCTGGAGGCAGAGGTTGCAGTGAGCTGAGATCATGCCACTAAACTCCAGCCTGGGCGACGGAACTAGACTCCGTCTCAAAAAAAAGAAAAAGAAAAAAGAGAAAGAAAAGAAAATCTAAATACTGCAGAATCTATCCAAGAACAAACATTAGAGTGCCGTTAAGGCTAAAGGCCAAAGAACCCACTTCTGTTTAGAGTGTGGAGATCCAACTTCCCTAGAAGGAGAAATCAGGACCCTCTCTGAGCATCAATGCTCTTACAGGTCAACTTCAGGCACAAGTACCTGAGCCATTTAAAGGCAAGCTCCCACCAGGCACGGTAGTTCATGCCTGTAATCCCAGCAGTTTGGGAGGTCGAGGCAGGCAGATCACTTGAAGCCAAAAGTTCGAGACCAGCCTGACTAACATGACAAAACCACATCTCTACTAATAATATAAAAAAACTGCCAGACGCAGTGGCTCATGCCTGTAATCCCAACACTTTGGGAGGCTGAGGCAGGCAGATCACGAGGTGAGGAGTTCCAGACCAGCCTGGCCAACATGGTGAAACCCTGTCTCTACTAAAAATACAAAAATTAGCTGGGTGGTAGTGATGCGCACCTGTAGTCCCAGCTACTCGGGAGGCTGAGGCAGAATTGCTTGAGCCTGGGAGGCAGAGGTTGCAGTGAGCCGAGATCCTGCCACAGCACTCCAGTCTGGGTGACAGAGTGGACCCTGTCTCAATAAATAAATAATAATAATAAAGGCAAGCTCCTCGGAGAGCCAGAAGCTGTTGAATTCTCTGCCTTTGCCGCCTTTCCTTTTTTTACTTTCCTGGTTCTTCCCTTCTATTAATACTAGATTCTCATTCTTCAATACATTAATAAGGCACTTCCCAATAATAAGGTAATTAAGAAATGAAGGGCCAGGCACAGTGGCTCACACCTGTAATCCCAGCACTTTGGAGGGCCGAGGCAGGTGGATCACCTGAGGTCAGGAGTTTGAGACCAGCCTGGCCAACATGGTAAAAC